GTTGAACGCTTTCATTTCTGTTTAAAATGTTATCCATTTGTTGAGTCAGTGACTAACTGGTTTACAGTTTACACAGTGCTTGTCAGTTCTGTCTAGGAATTGAGCTGGAGGTGGGAGCCTAGGGTGGGGTAGGATAAGATGACCGGAAAGGAAGTCAAAGAGGTACATTTTGAGACATAAGAACACAAGAATTTGCTGGTGAGAGCATCCAGTTCGCCTTCTACCATCCAGGCAGTCGCTTGTACATGTCGTGTCCCAAACTATATATTGTATCCTGAGATATTATTTCCCAACAAAAATCTATCTAATTTGTTCTTGAAAAAATCAACACTTTCTGCTTCCTAGGGAGTCTGTTCCATATATTTACTACTCTCTCACTGAAGTAGTGTTTCCGCAGATTTGTTCTGACTTTACCTCTCTTCAATCACAGGCCGTGTCCTTTGGTTCTCCCGCTCAGTGCAAGAAAAAACAGCTTATCGTGGTCTACATTTTGCTCACAAAATATGCAGTCAATTCACTATATTCTGTGAAGCGCTTTGAGACGTCTCAAAGACATGATAAGGTGCTATATCAAATGCAAGGATTATGATTATGATTATTATCTAGTTCCTTTAGAATCTTAAAGACTTTAATCATATCACCCCTCAACCTTCTCTTCTCCAGTGTGAACATGCCCAGTTCACATGCCGTGTCCTCTGTTTCTAACGAGCAATAAAAGGGGAGGGAGTGAGGGAGGAAGGGAGGGAGGGAAGGAGGAGGTAAGTTAGAGAGTGGAATCCCAGAGAGCGGGTGCCAAGTGGCTGAAAGCTCACCCACTGATGTTTGGGAGAGGATAGACAGTAAAACTGTCAGCACACTCCTTATCCGGTGAAATTTAAAGGTCCTTTCCTGAACTAGACAGCACAATCAGCCAAGTAACCCATTAAAGGTTTAATGGGCCACTGGGGCTGTCTGAGTGCATCTTGCTGAAGAGAACTCCACTTCTTATAAACTGCAAGATCATTGCAGTAAGTTATATATAAATCACTGTAATCGAGCTATTGAGCTATAGATATCTCTGGGGTTTCAGTTTCCATACCCAACTGTTCACTCTCTCCACTCAGCGGCTCTGTCCTGCTCATAGTCCCTTCACCGTGTCCCCTTCCTTGCCTCCTTTTATTGCCTGCTGTGTTTCACCCACAAAATATACAGTCAATTCACTTTACTACTAATAATAATCCTTACATTTGATATAGTGCCTTATCACGTATTCAAGATGCCTCAAAACGCTTCACAGAAGATACTGTAAAGTGAATTGACTGTGTATATACTGCGACTTTATTCTGTGAAACATACTGTAAAATGTACAGTCAATTCACTTTACTGTATCTTCTGTGAAGAGCTTTCAGATGTCTCAATGATGTGATAAAGTGCTTTATCAAAGGCAAGGATTATTATAATTATTATTATTATTAAGGGGAAACCTTTTGTTTTAAAGCAGTGGGTTATTGGAATCACAAAAAACATAGTACCCAGTAAATCAGTTAGGATTGACCCATTATTTTGTGTCAGTACTTGTTCCTCCAAGAAGGCCAGCCTCCTAATCCCTGGAATGTTTTTTTTCCTTTGTAGATGATGAAACTCAGTCTTTAAAGGATTTAACAAGAATTTAGATAAGTGTTTGAAGAGAGACGTTACACAAGAGATGAAAATACTACTTAAGCAAAGACCAGCACCATTTAGCACGCAACACTTTAAGGCAGCATATGCCTGACGAACCTTAACTTTGAAGAAAATGCTGTCGGCCTGGCTCAGTCGCTAGCGCTCTCGCCTCTGAGCAGAAGGTTGTGGGTTCAAGCCCCACGGCAGGACTTTGGGCTCATAGTCTAAGATGATGCTCCAGTGCAGGGCTGAGAGGGTGTTGCATTGTCAGAGGCACCATCCTTCAGATGAGATGTTAAAGATCTCATGGCACTATTCAAACAGAGAAGGGAGTTTCTCTCTCCTGGTGTCCTGGCCAACAATCCCCCAAATAAAACCGGTCACTCACTTCATGGCTATTTGTGGGACATTGCTGTGTGCAAATTGGTTCTGTATCCACCCTCAGAATACACAGTCAACAACAACAACAACAACAACAGATTCCATTTATTGAGCGCCTTTCACGTCGGGAGGACGTCCCAAGGCGCTGTACAGTTGGGTCAGGACCCGAGCAGGGGGGAAATGGTCAGGGTGAGGGGAGGGAAGGGAGGGAGCGAGGAGGGGGTAGAGAGTCGAGAGGGGAGCTGAAGGCTCGGTCAAAGAGAAAGGTCTTGAGACCGGCCTTGAAGGAGGAAAGGAAGGAGGCGGCGAAGGCACTGGGGGATAGAGTTCCAGAGACTCGGGGCTGAAGGCCCGGCCACCGATGGTAGGGCGGTTGGGGCGGCGGATGTGGAGCAGACCGGAGCCAGAGGAACGGAGGGTACGGGCAGGAAGGTAGGGGGATAGTAGGTCGGAGAGGTGGTAGGGGGATAGTAGGTCACTATGCTTTGTGGTATTTCTCGTGATGGGCTTTGACACGGATTAAGAAACCGGTGTTAGAGGCAGAGGAGAGCAGTGAGGCTGATCCCCAGTGTTAAGAGGCAGAGAGAGTGATGATAATGACAATAACGATAATCCGTTGCATTTGATATAACAACAACTTGCATTTATATAACAAGCACCTTATCACGTCTTCGAGACATCTGTAAAGTGAATTTTGTGGGTGAAATGTGGCAGCCAATTGTGAACAGTAGTGTCCCACAAACAATCGTGGATTGATTGACCAAATTTTTTTTTTAAAGTTTATTTTTGCATTGAAGGGATTATTTATTACCCCCGGAAAATCGATCCGCTAATCGACTAACAACCGGGATCCTACGTACTGCTGGGTAAACAGAGGCGTGTGGGGTAAGGAAACTTGCCTAAGGTTTCGCCCCTCCCTGGGAGTCGAACCCAGGTCCTCTCGCTTGCGAGGCGAGCGCTCTAACCACTAAGCTGCAGGACTCCATTTACTGCTGGGTAAACAGAGGTTTCGTCCTCTAACCTTCCCTTTAATTTCTTGCGTCTTTCATTTTTAACCCTACCAGGGGAAGGCGCGTAAAAAAAACAAGTTAAGAATGATCTGCGCATCGGAGTTACGAGCCACGCACCCCCTCCTCAGAGAAACACAAGTTTAATTCTTAACAAACCTTATAATTGTTATGTTCTGGTGTCCAAATCGCATAGAGGAACATTGAGAAAGCAGTTGATGCATAACTTCAACTGAGCCTCACCGCAATGGCCTGGACAATATTATAATAGTAATCCTTTCATTTAAGATAGCGCCTTATCACGTCGTCAAGACGTCTCAAAGCGCTTCACGGCGTATGCTGTCAAGTGGATTGCATGGATATTTTGCGGGTGAAACGCAGCAGCCAGTTTGCACACAGCAGCGTCCCACAAACAGTCATGGAGCGAGGGACCAATTTTATTTTGGGGATTGCTGGCCAGGACACTGGGAGAGAGAAACTCCCTTCTCATATGGGAATGCTGATAGGCATCAGGCTCATGTTAAGCAATGTACTTGTCTATAACGTATGTGTTGTCTGTCGATCCAGCTGCAAGTTAACGGCACACGCTCAGGACTCCTGTTACATTGTACAGAACAACACAAGGCTGCTTACTGCGCACTCATACACGTTCACTCGCAGTCACTCACACGCTCACGCCTGCACTCACAAACCCACACATACAAACACGCACTCAATCACATGCCCACCCACACGCACTCACGAACGCTAATTCACTCACTCACGTGCGCGCACACACACACTCACTCACGCACTCATATATGCTCACACACACACTCACACATTCAAACTCACTCACACTCACTCACACACACTCACTCAAGTGCACACACACACACGCACGCTCACACACACACGCTCACTCACACACACACACACGCACACACGCGCATTAACTCACACACACACTCACCCACCTTCACGGGCAGAAACACACACACACACTAAGATACACCCAACACACACATGCACAAACCCTCACTCCAGTGCACGCAGGCACACACACTCACTCATGCACACTGCTACCTGGATTTTATATTATATTATAAATTATATTAATCTGAATTTCCCAGCTGTCTCTCTTTCTCCAGACCGAGATATTCACATTGAGTTTCCTGGGCTGTAATGGGGTGGATATTAGAAAGCTAAAAGTTTTAGCCTAAGCAGAGTTTTCGCTTGAGGTTGCAGACAGCGCAGAAAGGTGGAAAATTCACATATCTGTTCCTAATTCGGAGGACGTTTTTTTCTTTAAATGAATCCGACTTACGAGTTCGAGACACATTTCCAAATTGTACTTCATGGGGAGGATGTTTCAAAGCGCTTCAGAGAGAGGCTGGGGCAATGTGGGGGGGAGGTGGGGGGGGGGTTAAGGGGAAGTGAGGGGTAAAGTGGAGAAGATGACCAGATGGGGGGAGGGCTTATTCTGTGCCACCTTAGTAATAATAATTCTTGCATTTGATGTAGTGCCTTATCAAGTCATTGAGACATCTCAAAGCCCTTCAAAGCATGTGTGTGTGGGCTTGGTGGGGGGGGGGGGGCGGTGGGGTGGTGGGGGTAGAGCGGAAGGCGAGGCTATTAGGCAGTTTAACATCTCATCAGAAGAACGACACCTCGGCCAACAAAGCACTCGCTCAGCACTGCATTGCAGCACCAGCCTAGATAATAATAATAAATAATAATAATAATAATAATCCTTGCATTTGACATAGCACCGTATCATGTCGTTGTAACGTCTCAAAGTGCTTCGCAGAATATACCGTAAAATGGATTGACTGTGTGTTTTGCGGGTGAAACACGGCAGCCAGTTGTGCACAGTGGACTCCCACAAACAGTGAGCTAATTTTTTGATGCACATTCTGGAGCTTAAATAAATAAGTAAACTTTAAACAGATCAAGTCATTTCCAAATTCCCAACGTGGGAATTGAACTCACAAGAGGCGAGAGTCCTACCACTAAGCCAGGCTTATAGACATCTGAAGACCTGCAAGAGAGAGAGAGAGAGAGAGAGTGAGAAGAGAGAGAGAAAGAGAGAGAGAGAACGATTAAGAGACAGAGACAAAGAGAGAGCAGAGAGAGAAAGATCGGGGTGAGAGAGAGAATATGAATGGGTAATGTTTACGCTCAACACTTTGTAAGCGCCGACCTGCTTCACATCCTACCCTATATCATCGGTGGGTAGCCTTCAGCCATTCTGCCCCTTCTCTCTGGAACTCCATCCCAGTGTCCCTCCACCTCGCCCCCTCCCTCGCCTCCTTCAAGACCCATCTCAAGACCCTCCTCTTCAACTGTGCCTTTAGTCACCCTCCTTCCCCCCCTGCCCTCCACCCACCCTGATCCTGACCCCCAGCTCGGGTCTGAAACACTGATTGTCCAGCGCCTTGGGACGTCCTCTCCCAACGTGAAAGGCGCTATAGAAATGTAATTTTGTTGTTGTTGTTCAGGGTCTGCCTCAAGACCTTCCTCTTTGACAGCATTTTCGGTCATCTTTCCATTCCCAACCCCACCCAGCTCAGGTATCAAGCCAACCATGTTAAGTACCTTGGGACATCCTCCCGATGTGAAAGCTGCTGTTTAAATGTAAATTTATATTGAATTGTATAACATTAGCGGGGGTGAAAACTGATAAGTTCCTTCAGGATACCATCCCTGGTGCTAATTCCTCCACTGGAGCTCTCTACTCTTATCTCATTCCCCTGCTGTTTAGGTACCGCCCAAGAGAAAGGTCTTCAGGCACAATCTGAAGATGGTGAAGGCTGGGGTCAAGGCGGAGAGATAGAGGAAGAGTGTTCCAGAGTTTCAGGGGATAGTGGCTGAAAGTGTGACCAGCGATGGTGGAACAGAGGGGACGAGGGACAAGCAGGAGGCCGGGGCCAGTCGTGCTGAGGCAGCGGGTAGTGAGTTGGGGTGGGGGGTGGGGGTGGGTAAGTAGGCTAGAGAGGTAGTGAGGTGCCAGGGTGTGAAGGGATTTGAAGACGAGTGTGAGGATCCTGAAATCAATCTGTTTGGCGACAGGGAGCAAGTGCAGCCTGGTGTGATGGGGGTGGTGGGGGGGGGAGAGTTTGGGATCAGACAAACCAGACAAGAAGAACCAGACAAATGAACAAGGTAGATTGATTACAAACAAAAGCAAAGGAACGATCCTCTGTCGAAAACAAATGAAATCAGAGGCAGCGCAGAAGGAAAAATATAGCCTTGGACGATAGATATTCTGCGAAAGCCGTGACATTAATTTCCCCGACCTGCCAAATTCATATACTGAGGACCTTGCCAGAGATGCTGATGTGTTTGACTTGCATTGTGTTTATAGATATATACAGTATAATGAGATTTCAATAGACATTTCTTTTTCAAAACAAAACATGACAGGGTCATTTATAACCTTATTTCCACACTTCCAAGGATTCCAGTGTGGCAAAATATTGTGCAATTAGGCAAGCAAAATAATCCAAATACATAGCTGAGATCCCAACGGTGCTTTTGAGGCCATTTATAGTAATGAGGTTATCCTCCAAACATTGAGGCTGGTTTTACTGAGACATGTGGGCAGAGGGAGTGCCATTAGATGTTGTCTATTCTCCTTGAAAGGGAAAAATAACGGGCTGGTGTCGTGGACAGAGCTGCAGTTTATGGATTAAGAGCAATGCTGGTTGGAATCCCAGCCCATGATGAGTTTGTTGGTCTCTATTCAAGAGGCTAAATCAAATGGAGGACCCATAGCCTAGCGGTCAGTGCACTTGCCTCGCAAGAGAGAGGACATGGGTTTGATTCCCGGGCGGGGATGAAACCTTAGGCAAGTTTCCTTACTCCACACACCTCTGTTTACCGAGCAGTAAGTAGGAACCCGGTTGTTAGTTGATTGACTGTTTGTGCGACACTGCTGTGTGCAATTGGCTCCCGAGTTTTGCCCACAAATTCCACCGTCAATCCACTTTACAATATATTCTCTGAAGCGCTTAGAGACCTCTCCCTGACGTGATAAAGCACTATATCAAATGCAAGGATTATTATTATTAAGTCACAACTTTCCCATCATCAGGGAGGAGGAAATCAGCCAGGGTTCCTGCAACCCTGGAGTCCTGTAGCTCAGTGGTTAGAGCACTCGCTTTGCAAGCAAGAGACCTGAGTTCAATTCCAGGCAGAGGGCAAAACCTTGGGCAAGTTTCCTTACTCCACATAGAGCCTAATAATAATCCCTCCAAAACCAAAAACAATGATAAATTGGTCATTTTCAATCTACGACTGTTTGTGGGACATTGCTGTGCGCAATTGGCTGCCGCGTTCGCCCACAAATATACAGTCAATTCACTTTACAGTGTGTTCTGTGAAGCTCTTTGGGATGTCCTCCCACTTGAAAAGCGCGATATCAAATGCAAGGATTATTATTATTATAATTATTATTATTAATTGGTCCTTCTATACAGCAAAGAAGGGAGTTTCTCTCTCCCGGTGTCCTGGCCATCAATCCCTCAATAAAATTGGTCATTCACATCATAGCTGTTTCTGTAACGTGGCTGTGGATGAAATGATTGCTGCATTCTCTCATAAAACACACAATAAGATGTCAGGATTATTATTATTATTATTGACAACCTCAACCTGGTTGTAATGTGTGACAGTCAGGTGTGGAGAGATCAGACTCAGCTGTGATGCCCTCTATAGTCAAGTAGCCTGCGGACACTCATTGCCAAGATTCACACAACATAGAATCATAAGAATCATAGAATTATACAGCACAGAAGGAGGCCATTCTGCCCCTCGTGTCTGTGCCGGCTCCTTGAAAAAAGCTTCCAAATCAATCCCACACCCCCACTCTCTCCCCGTAGCTCTGCAAACTTGTCCTCCACAAATAATTATCTACTTCTCTCTTAAAAGCTGTTATCGAATCGGCTTCCACCGGCCTTTCAGGCCATGCATTCCAGATCCCAACAACTTGCAGTGTGGAAAAATGTCTCCTCACCTCTTCTCTGATTCTTTTAACAACTATTTTAAATCGGAGTCCTCGGGTTACCGACCCACCCCCAGTGGGAACAGTTTCTCCTTGTTCACCCTATTGAATCCGCTCGTAACTTCTATGAAGTCTCCTCTTAACCTGTTCTGCCTCTCCTCTTTCTTCCTCCCAAAATGCATCATTCGCATTTCTCCCCCATTAAACTTCATCTGCCACGTGTCTGCCCGTGTTACCAGTCTGTCTATGGCCATTTGCAGTCAGTTACTATCCTCCTCACTGTTTACTACTTTTCCTAACTTGGTATCATCTGCAAAGTTGGTAATTGATCTCCCTATACCCAAGTCCAGGTCATTTATATAGATCAACAACAGCAGTGGCCCCAATACTAACCCCCGGGGGACATCACTGCACACTTCCCTCCAGTCAGAAAGACAACCGTTCACCACTACTCTCTGCTTTCTGTCTCCCATCCAGTTCTGTATCCATGATGCCACTGTCCCTTTAATTCCGTGGTCTTCTATTTTGATTACAAGTCTCTTATGTGGCACTTTATCAAACGCCTTTTGAAAAAAAAATCCATATCTACTACATCAACTGCACCAACCAGCAAGAGGTCAAACAAGATGCAGAGAGAAGGCCAGTTCAGGGGCGACAACAACAATAACAAAAGCAACAACAACTTGCACTTATATAGCAGGTAGTGTCTCAGAGCAGAGAGATTGATTGCCAGACCAGGGGTAGAGAGGCATGGGCCAGCGAGGGAGAGAATTAGGAAAAATAATTGGCTGCACTCAACACTTTTAATGTTTAATAATAATAATTCTTGCATTTGATGCAGCACTTCATCACATCTTCGAGACATCGCAAAGCGCTTCACAGAATATACTGTAAAGTGGATTGACTGTATATTTGTGGGTGAAACGCAGCAGCCAAATGTGCACAGCAGCGTCCCACAAATAGTCGAGGATTGAGTGACCAAATTATTATTATTATTATTAATATTGAAGGGTACAAGGAGGTGAGAGTGAAACTAAAGAGGTAGATCCTTTAGAGAGCTGGAACGATGAACAGGAGAGCTGTAGTGTGTGACGTACGACTCTGAAAATTTGTAATCTCAAAAGGTTTTGACAGGATAAATTGCAAACAATTACTCCTGCCATTCGGTCAATTGGAAATAATGAAAGTGTAAGCTCAGGACTGTCACTGGCAGAGTCAAAGCAGAGGTTTGAGGAAACGCAGTGGGGCGCTTTGCCATGAACGGCTGTCGAGGCCGAGATTTATCATTTGAAAATGAACTCTGGCTAAGTGTTTGAAGGGAAAGATTATTAGTCTGGCTCAGTTGGCAGCACTCTCTACCTCTGACTCAGAAGGTATGTGGAATCCTTCAGCACAGTGGTTAGAGCACTCGCCTCGCAAGCGAGAGTCCCTGGGTTTGATTCCCGGGCAGGATGAAACCTTAGGCAAGTTTCCTTACTCCACGCACCTCTGTTTACCTAGCGGTAAGTAGGAACCCGATTGTTACTCGATTGGCGGGTCACTTTTCCTGGGGTAACAATCCCTCCAAAGAAACATATTTGATCACTTAATCCACGATTGTTTGTGGGACACCGCTGTGCGTATATGGCTGCCACGTTTCGCCCACAAAATACAGTCACTCCATTTTGCAGTGTATTCTGTGAGGTGCTTTGAGATGTCTAAACGATATTGATAAGGTGCTATATAAAATGCAATGATAATGATAATTATTATTATTTTACTTGCCTATTTCCCCATATTCCTGTAGTTTACTCCTTTTTAGATACGATCTAGTCCATTTAGAAAGATAATCTGGATTCTGCCTTGACCACCACTGGTCAATATGGAGGATATGGAATGCAATGCATTACATATCCTCACCACTCTGTGTGTGTGAAAACATTCTCCTAACCTCCTCATGTGCTCGTTTACTAACTAACTCAAACTGATGCCCTCTGGACATCTGAGCTTTACAGACAAAGTACTTTACAGTGATGGAGTGACAAGCTGGGGTGGGT